GTAAAATTTAGATAAAGAAGTGGTCATTCCAACTTGACTCACCCTTTATGTTGGCAATGCAATGGGAAATTTTCAAGAAGGATGTTGCCATTCCAACTTGACTCACCCCTGTATGTTGACCATGCAGGGGTGAAATTTAGAGAAGGATGTTGCCATTCCAACTTTACTCACCCCTTTGTGTGGGCAATGCAGGGGTAAAATTTAGAGAAGGAAGTGGCCCTGCCAACTTGACTCACCCTTTTGTGGGCCATGCAGTGGTAAAATTTAGAAGGGTGTTGCCCTTCCAACTTGACGCACCCTTTGGTGGGCAATGCAGGGGCCAAATTTAAAGAAGGAAGTGGCCCTTCCAAGTTGACGCGCCCCTTGGTGAGCCACCCGAGGAGAACATTTAGAGAAGGATGTTGCCACTTCAACTTGACTCACCCCTTTGTGTGGGCAATGCAGGGGCTAAATCTAGCGAAGGAAGTGGTCATTCCAACTTGACTCACCCTTTTGTGGGCAATGCAGGGGGAAAATTTAGAGAAGGATGTTGCCATTCCAACTTGACTGACCCCTTTCTGTAGGCAATGCAGGGGTAAAATTTAGATAAAGAAGTGGTCATTCCAACTTGACTCACCCTTTTGTGGGCAATGCAAGGGTAAATTTTAGAGAAGGATGTTGCCATTCCAAGTTGACTCACCCAACTGGACTCACCCGTTTATGTGGGCAATGCACGGGTAAAATTTAGAGAAGGAAGTGGTCTTATGATGATCAAGACCCATCAAAGACTGGAAATCATTAAAAAGATAAAAAACAAAATAAAAAAACAAAATAAATACAAAAACAGAAAACCCGGTCAAAGACCGTCCTTCCCTCCATTTCGAGCTGTGTTGTTTTTGTTTATTGTTTGTTTATTTTTTGTTTCTTTTTTGTTTCTTTTTTGTTTATTTTTTGTTTCTTTTTTGTTTCTTTTCTGTTTCTTTTTTGTTTATTTTTTGTTTATTTTTTGTTTTTTTCCTAGGGTTTTTACAGAAAACCTGATTTCAAGGCCAGCTTTTGCTAGAACAGAAAAAAAGCAGAACAAATAGACGTGTTCTGGGTGCTTGTGTTAATTTTGTTTTATGTTTGTTTGTTTTTTGTTTTTTGTTTGTTGTCTGTTGTGTTTGCACATTTTGTGATTGTTTTTTTGTGCTGTTTGTTTTTTGTTTATTTTTTGTTTTTATTATCTTTTTCAGGATCATCAGTTATTGATTATTTATTTTTCATAAAAGTGGTCACTCCAACTTGACTTACTCTTTTGTGGGCCATGCAGGGGAAAAATTTGGACAAGGAAGTGGCCCTTCCAACTTCACTCACCCTCTTGTGGGCCATGCAGGGGTAAAATTTAGAGAAGAATGTTGCCCAAGTTGACTCACCCTTTGGTGGGCCATGCAGGGGTAAAATTTAGAGAAACGAGTGGTCATTCCAACTTCACTCACCCTTTTGTGGGCAATGCAAAGGTAAAATTTAGAGAAAGATGTTGCTATTTCAACTTGACCGAGCCCTTTGTGTGTGAAATGCAGGGGTAAATTTAGACAAGGAAGTGGTCATTCCAAGTTGCCTCAGCCTTTTGTGTTAGAGAAGGATGTTGCCATTCCAACTTGACTCACCCTTTTGTGGGCAAGGCAGGGGTAAATTTTAGAGAAGGATGTTGTTCCAACTTGACTCACGCTTTTGTGGGCAGGGCAGGGGGAAAGTTTCGAGAAGGAAGTGGTCAGTCCAAGTTGACTCACCCTTTGGTGAGGCAGTGGAGGGTAAAATTTAGAGGAGGAAGTGGCCATTCCAAGTTGACTCACCCTGTGGTGCGCCACCCGAGGGTAAAATTTAGAGAAGGATGTTGCCATTTCAACTTGAATCACCCTTTTGTGGGCAATGCAGGGAAAAAAATTTAGAGAAGGAAGTGGCCCTCAACTTGACTCACCCTTTTGTGGGCCATGCAAGGGCAACGCAGGGGTAGAATTTAGAGAAGGATGTTGCCTTTTCAACTTGATTGTGTGGGCAATGCAGGGATAAATTTTAGACAAGGAAGTGGTCATTCCAACTTGACGCACCCTTTTGTGGGCCATGCAGGGGTAGAATTTAGAGAAAGATGTAGCCGTTTCAACTTGACTCACCCCTGTGTGGGAAATGCAGGGGAAAAAATTTAGAGAAGGAAGTTGCCCTTCCAAGTTGACGCGCCCCTTGGTGAGCCACCCGAGGAAAAAAATTTAGAGAAGGATGTTGCCACTTCAACTTGACTCACCCCTTTGTGTGGGCAATGCAGGGGCTAAATCTAGAGAAGGAAGTGGTCATTCCAACCTGACTCACCCTTTTGTGGGCAATGCAGGGGGAAAATTTAGAGAAGGATGTGGCCATTCCAACTTGACTCACCCCTGTGGGCAATGCAGGGGCAAAATTTTAGACAAGGAAGTGGTCATTCCAACTGGACGCACCCTTTTGTGGGCCATGCAGGGGTAGAATTTAGGGAAAGATGTAGCCGCTTCAACTTGACTCACCCGTGTGTGGGAAATGCGGGGGTAAATTTTAGAGAAGGAAGTTGCTCTTCCAAGTTGACGCGCCCCTTGGTGAGCCACCCGAGGATAAAATTTAGAGAAGGATGTTGCCACTTTAACTTGACTCACCCCTTTGTGTGGGCAATGCAGGGGCTAAATCTAGAGAAGGAAGTGGTCATTCCAACTTGACTCACCCTTTTGTGGGCAATGCAGGGGGAAAATTTAGAGAAGGATGTTGCCATTCCAACTTGACTCACCCCTTTCTGTGGGCAATGCAGGGGCAAAATTTAGATAAAGAAGACGCAGGGGTAAATTTTAGACAAGGAAGAGGTCATTCCAACTTGACGCACCCTTTTGTGGGCCATGCAGGGGTAGAATTTAGAGAAAGATGTAGCCGGTTCAACTTGACTCACCCCTGTGTGGGAAATGCA